GGGTGGGGGCGGGGGGGGGGGCGGGGGCGGGGGTGGGGTTGGGAGTGGAGGTGATAACAAATTAAACGCTGCTCAGAACACATCTCGGAGAGAGTCGTAGTGGGCCAGTAAAGCAGACGAGTGCATAGGTGCTTTCAACAGAGTGGACTAAATCAGATATGAAGCAAGAAAGGGGTCACGGCTTAGATGCAGAATCTTAAGAAGAACTTTCGCTCCTTTTTTAATAAGAATACCAATCACAACATAAATGCGTGTTAAAAAATATGGGAAATAGACTCCAATAAAGCGCAGTGTCTTCTTGTAATGGAAATATCCTTACGAAAAATATCACCACTGGAATGTTGACATTCCACAAACCGATAAAATTTCTAACTCCAGAGATGGTTGTGAAATCATTTGAACAAATACCTTCAAGCATTTTAAAGTCATTTAAATAGGGAAAAATTAAAGTATGTAAAAGGCTATTGAAATGAAGACAGCCTGACGATTTCAGGTTTCAGATGCAGTGTTCTCATTTATGAACAAAATACGCATGTCATTGCCATTAAAGCAGAATTGGAAACTATTTGTCCGATTATTATAACGTCTTCAGAAAGCTTAAAAATCTTAGAACTTTATTGTCTCTCTCTCTGATAACAATGCCAAATATGGGCACAATCGCTTACTAAGGCGCAATTGTCAAAATGGCCCTTCTCTGCCCCCAAAAATATCAGATCTTAAACAAATTAATTTAGGGAATGATTTATTTAACCAGATCTTTGTAATTAGCATTAAATGGAGACCAGACAGAAGAGAGCAATGCAGCCGATTGAAGCAGAACGCGACATTCTTTGCTTCTTACAATCGCATGACGCGCTGTGCTGCGATTAACAGCATTGAATGAATAAAGCTCTGCACTTTCTCCATGGAGTTTTCTGATTTTGTGGACTTTTTGGCATTTCAGTTGAGGAATATCTTTCTTTGAAGCGACTTGCTATTGGAATATTTCCGTGTATTGGAGGAGCCAACACTTTTCCTTGTTTTGATATTTCTGGCTTTGATAGAATAGAGCATTTAAAGGAGTATCCCTTTTTGGAGCTCAAAACTGCTTACGCCCACATTTTGCTTGCAGAATAGAAAGACCATTGTAGAGTCTAAGAAAATATTGGACAAAGACAAATCTCTTTGCTGTTCCATTCGATGGCATTTGCGGTCGATGGATGCCAAGCACTCGAGGAAGTCGGTCTTGCCAAATCTGCTTGTCCAAAATGTAAACGAAGACAAGAAAAAAACGTTGCCTTATTTTAATAGACCCCTTCACGAAATCTTAAACTAAGACACCTTGGTCTCAAATTTTTTCAAGTATTGCTGCAACTATCCAAGGGATCCTCCATATTGTCCAGGTACAACTTAGCACAAATAGGCGTGAGGCTATTCACTTTAAGCATTCGTGTCCTTATCACACAGTATGCCGCATTCATGACCTTAAATATTCCCTTTTAACACCCCCCCCCGCCCTCCTCCCAAGCTCATTATTTGGATGAGCAAATTGTTGAAAAAAAGTGCAGAGGCAACTCCTCATGTGACAAAGGGATGAAAGAATCGGAGGAAATCCAAGTTCCTTAGTGTTTGGGTGTCGAGGTACACCTCGTATAAGTGCCTAAATCTTCCTGTAATACTCTAGTCGCATGCATTCTAGATATTCGGTCCTTACTTTTAACACAAAAACGGTTGGGGAACAACTCAATACCTGCTATCCTCCTTCCTCATGATATTTATAAACTCTGGTGCCTCAACGCAATCACCGATTTCCCCACCCCCCCCTTCAGGAGAACCCGTAGAAGACTCAATGGGGGCCAACATTGGCAATAGGGCATTTAAAGTTCTCGGGGGGTGGGGGGNGGGGGGGGGGGGGGGAGGGGTGGGGAGAGGGAGATGCTGCATACAAATTAATAACGTTGATCCAATGTGACAGTAAAATTGTTAATTTGATTGGTTCACTATTAAGGAAATCTGGCATTCTTTCTGAACCAAGGGGAGTTGTAGTTATTTAGTAAATTAATTAGGCAGTGAAATTCCCAGCGATTTGAGAATGATCTTTTAGGACTGGAAGCGAATTCATAATATTCATTCAAAAAATGTGAAGCAAAATAGACGGTTTAACGCAAAAAATGACAGATAAGCGGAATCAACTATATTCTTCAGCAGGCTCTTCAAAGCTAACTTTAAGCTCATGAAGTCGGTAAAATTAGGCAATGCGTAAAATATATACACTAGACATAAGGCAAACCTTAAGACCTCTTATGATTGGATATATTTCCGTATTCTGGACTTAGTGGCCTTGCCTTTCCTCGTTAACCTTCGACGCAATCGTCAATTTTGAACATTTCATCTTCAAGTTATGCTCCCTTTTCTCTCTGTTTTCTTTCAACCCGTTTCTTTCCATACAATATCGAAAAAATATATATAAGACATTCAAATTAGATTCAATGTTTGTCTTCTTACTTAACTTTTGAAGCAAGCTCTTCATGTCAACTTCGAGCAATTCACACTTGGAATATCGCCAGCAGCCCTTGTTGGAGTTGGTGCATTCGGAGGAGAGCTACGTGCAGCAACTGCAGTTGGTTCGAGATACCTACATGACAGTGGTGAATACACAGAGCTTCTTCGCCCCCACTCCGTGTCTCTCTCGAAATGAGAGCTTTTGCTCCGAACGCTCCAGCACACTCTCAACGCTCCCCTCCTCACCAGGTCCCTCGTCACCACAGCAGCCTATTCCCACCCCACCGGTTGAATTAGCTAATCGATGGCGAATCATTTGGGGCAATTGGCTCCAACTCACTGAATGGCACAGTCAATTCGTCGAGAAGTTAAAACGAGCGGTTGACGAGCAACCAAACAACGTGCCTCGGCTCTTTCTCAACTCCCAGTCCCGTCTGCGCTCGATGTACATGAAGTATTGTGAAAACTACTCCAAGGCGGTGATACTTGTTGCGCCCTTTAAGACGTACTTTGAGGAACTAAGGCGTGCCTTCGCGGACAAGAATGACATTCTCTCACGTCTGATGCAGCCAATTCAACGCGTGACCCGATATCAGCTCCCCATGATGGAGGCCCTGAAGTTGACTGAACAGGCCGGCTCTAGGGAAGCCCCCACGTGGAGGGCTGCAGTCATCGTCCTCAAGAACCTGCCAAACGATGTGCAACTCATGCTCGAGGTCAGTGCTCGAACGCTTTTTTATTCTTCCTAATCTCATTGAATAGAAGTATATTGACATTGATAAAGCTAATTACAACATGCTTTTGGTTAGTTAATGCATTAGAAATGAAAAAAACACGACATTTAGACTGAGGAACATTTTGTTTACTTTTGTAAAATTTCTCTATTTTGGAATTGTCTATAGGAGTGATTTTGAATGTCAGTAAATTAGAATTAGTCCTCCAGAACTATCTTATAAAGCTCTTCGGAAATATGGTTTAGAGAAATTGGCTTCCTTTAAAGTTTAGCTAGAGCTGAATTGAAGTATTTGCTCTTGCCCACATATCAATGTGAGAACTTTACCAGAGAATTTACTAACAGGTATAAAATTGTAATAACAAGCTGACAGAATGAATGAATGCAATGTGAGTTTAAGCAAGATATTAAGTGGGAAATTAAAGTTATTCATTGGATGTGGGCAGTTAGAAGTCACAGCATGATGATCGCACAGATGTATGGCATTTCGAATGTGGAGTGGAGACGAATTCAAGTCAATTCCGGGGAGAAGTGAATGCGAGAAATGAATTGGATGCTGACTCGCGATGCAATGGAAGAGAGTCATGCTTAGTTCGCAAAGATTTGGAAATATGCAATTCGCCCGTCCCCCCACCCCACCCACCCCACTCTCTGTTAGACAGAGTCAACGAATCACATTCCGCGTGTTGCCATTACGATGCAAAAATCTTGTAAATTAGAAATTTCCTGTATTACTGAACATCATAAAGCAGAAACCCACGTTCTCATTTCAAGATGGACGAAACATAGACGAGATTCCTATATTTAGACATAAGTTAGGATGGACTTGTTAATTTCTCCCATAATCGAAATATTCTTTCTCAATAGTTTTGATTTTAAATAAGTGTCATTAACAAGTGAAACAGAGTTTATTTCACATGAGCATGTCTTTTTAAATGTAAAACAAACAATCAATTCATCCTCATACAACCGAATGATAAATAAAAGTGTCCTATTTGAAATAGGCGGGGAATTAGTTTTAGTGAATAAATCATTATAATTGCATTATTGCAGTTTCGATATGCAGCGCCAGGCTCTTGTCGAGTCCAAATGGGCAGAAAAAAAGAATTCGACACGAGTTGGTAGTTCTGACAGTCAGGAACTTCACTCGCATCCATTCACCGGTTTGAACATCCAAATACCGATTCCCAAATGACATAATTGAAAGCAACATGAATAACGAAATGGAAATATCATTCTCAACCGACAAAATACCCAAATAGTTAAATTAAATGCTTACATTATGTTAGCAATAAACCTAGATTCAAATAGATCTCGAATAATCTAGAAATAAATATATTTTTATGTAAAAAATTGAGTAAAAAAGAGAGCTAAATAATGGAACCGATTTATTATAATGATCGATACTTGTCAGGTTAAAACAATGAGTCAATCGCCTAGCTACATACCCTTTCACTAAAAAAACCCTCTGTCGATTGAGCCTAATCCTAAATTTATTTTTATTAATTATAACGATCACCTTTTCCCATATATTTCAAACATAGCCACCATAGAGCTATTTATAAACTTGTCATTTCACCACTATAAACGAATTTTGATTTTGTGTTAAATTATTTGTGAATTGAAGACTGCTTTAGGATTCATTATTTTCTTGAATAATTGAAAAAGTGGAAAAATAAGTATTTGGTATAAATCAATTGATGAATTAAAGTTGGCTAAATAAACGAATGAAGGACGCAGGACTTCACTGGAAATAAATTTGAGTCCATTTCTCCCAAAAGCCGCGCAGTGGATGCCCTACAAACATACCCCCCCCCCCCCCCCCCCCCCTCCATGGTTAAGCACTAGAAACCATCGCAGAGACTGAGGTAACTGCAGACATGACCTCTTTTTGAAAGGTGACCAAACATGATCTTAACTACGTTCAAGGTAGCGAGACCACATAAAACTTGCTGGAAAAGATATGGTATTTGGGTGCATTTAGCTCAGTGCATTCTGACCACTGATCACGGATTAGTTGGGATACCACCTGCCCCTCCCCCTGCCCCCACAGACTTGTGATTGTCTGATGGGAGATCGATAGCACATGACAATTTTCAGAATGCCCCCCCTCACGTGGGACTCCCTTGATCAGCCTCCACAACCGAGAGCACCTGATTGATGTCATTTGTTACCTTGTAGGCATTCCATCAAGAATAATGCCTACGCAAGCTCATTTTTTTGCCAATTTGGCCAACGGTCCCACTTAAAAGGCGAGAAATTAGGGGGGAGACATTGATAGAGAAAGCGGGTTTTGTTAATAATGGAATTAAGGCACTCAGAATATTCTGGAAGCAGGGTGAAGGCTAATATTACAGTTATTTGATATATTGTAAAAAATAGCATAAAATCTAAAATAAATCAGCATCAAAATGGTCAGGATGCTTTGTGTCTCAAAAAGTTTAGCCAAATCAAAGAAGTTTTGAAAATATTCCCCCAACCCGCCCCGAACCCCCCCCCCCCCCTCCAAGCTGTTACCGATCAGTTCTTACCAAAAGTTGCTAATAAAATATGGTCAGTCTTGCCTCCCCCACCTCCTCCACATCCTCCTCCTCTTCCTTCGTGAGAAATTTTGCCGCGAATTTAATCGCACTGCTAAAGATAGGTCTGTTTTCATTTCCCTCATGACGGATCTCCTGGAACTGTGATTGGAAGAAATAAAATTTTAATAAAATGATGGGTGGAAATTGACCTAGTTTTAAAAAGTTTGCATGAATTGAACTAGTAATGAAGAGTATTTCAAAAATTCGAGAAAGTTTACGGTTGAATTTTATTTCTTATGGTCAAAATGTTGGTGGAAATTAGGTTTTTTTTTCACTTGAAGACGCATACGGTGTAAGGAGTAAGTAGCGAGATATGAGGATTTAAATCTTAAAAATAATCATTTGTCACACAAAATAAGAGATAATTTTTGACATTTTGAACAGAAGATGTGAATGATTCAGTACATTCGAGAGAAAATTCTGTTCAGTTTCAATTGAAGTCTTCGTATGACAGGATAAACTTTTCTAGTTTCGATGCTGTCGTTTGCAATGTTTAGCTTCATTTCGCAGCGTATAATAACGTATGATAGGAACTGTGGCGCTAATGCTGGCGTGTAAAAGACACTTTATTTAAATTTGAGGGGATCTATTTTTTTAATTTGGGGTTCGCGATAGAGGCACAAAAATTCTTTTCATTTTGCATTTTGTGAGCGATAGGATACAATGGTAAGATATTCCTGGTGTGTTAATTATTCTAAGTTGTAATTTCAATTCTTTCTCTACCCATGATTTTCATTAGTAATTAATCACTGAAAGGGGAGGGGAGTTATTGTGTCATTTAACTTTTACCATCAGCTTTCTGACATGAATTTTTGTGTTTGCGTGGAAATGTACAGAAGTTGCGCAGTTGCCTTTAATGCTTCTTTCATTGTACTCTTAATAGCTCGCATTTAATGATTTCGTCTTAAAGAGGGGCTTTCTATTTATGATCAAGGATTGCTGTGCTAAATTTAAATTAGTAAATCTTAATGTTGAGCTACCGAGGCGTTGGGATTTGTAGAATCAGACTGCGCAATGGGGTGCTGTTTTTTGCAAAATTGTTCTTTTATTACACAGAAGGTGGTGTTCCGAAAGTGTGAACTATTTCCTGAACACATCGCACACAATCACCATCACCTATAGCACACTCATCGGCTATTGCAAGATCCTTCCCTCCCCCTCCCATACCTCACCCAAATACTTATGACCTTTTGCAAGCCATTAAACCACTTTCGACAGACACACATTCACTTCCATTATTGTGTTTGTTTACTTCTTTTGCAATGGCGTAAGATAAGAAATAGTTTAAAATTGAATGTAAAATTGTTTCAGTGTGAATCCACCCTCCATTTTCTTTAGTTGTAACAAATTTTGACATCAAGATGACATTAACACCAGCACAAAGATTGAAAAGAAAAAGTTACCATGAAAGTACAAGTTTATGAAAACTTCTTGCCGAAGAAATGAAGTCCGCAGAGAAGAAATTTTAGGGGCAAACGCCTTCCCCCACCCCCCATCCCCCTCTACATATGTGTCCTGTTGAGTGAAAGCTTCACTTTACCCGTCCTGCATTTGAAACACCTTCACGAAGTGAAAGAAGGCCCGATCAATAAATGATATTTGTGGACTATTGATCTCTTTATTGGTTTGAACTCGCTTTCAGTGTTAAATAATCTATATACATTTTGCTAAATATAAAATTAATATGGACAAAGTTGATGAATTCGAAAAGATATTTTTTGAAGCGAAAAAATTGGCGGCAAATTTTTAATTACTAGATTGAATGACACATAAAATGTTATCATATTTCATGATTCAATGGCTATATGCTCTGATTGGTTCATTTCATGCGCATTGCATAGAAATTGGCCAGATATCGTCTTATACAGAACGTTAAGACGAATTTGGTGAAATTTTGGAATATTAGCCTTTTTTAATTGTTACAATTATTATGTTTACACAAAGCAAATAGGATGACATATACCTGTTTCGTCATTCAAGAATTCTGCTAAGATGAAATGTGAAGGGAAGACGCGATTCAAGTTCATAAGAAGTCTCACGTTCAATCACCATTTGCGGCTTATTTTAATCCAAGGAATTTTAAAGAATAAATATTTAACTAAGGACTTTGGTACACGTTTTTATCTTAAAAAAGTAATAAAACTGCTTTGGGGATTATATAACATAGTTTGGAAACATTGCATATTCAGACAAATCGAATTGTTAAGATATTCGAAATTACATTGAGATTACAATTTTTTCCTAAGCCTAACATTTCGCAATAAAAGGTTGACATTGAATGAAAACCAGCTGATGAATTTACTTTTTCGAACATGATCTATGATGACCTTTTCCTCTAGGTCAATTTGAATTTGCAGAGGCGTTCAAACGTACACCGTTGCAACACAAACATTTAAACTCATATCTGGGCATATCTGCAATAAAGGATCAAGTA